GTATGGTGCTTTTATGTTTGCTGAATTGAACGCATTCATGAAACCATGTTCTTCTCTTCCTGCCACGAGTCATACCATACAGCAATCCATTCTCCCCAGCCTCTCCTTTTCTTCATTAGAATGGAAACTCTTTGAAGGCAGGGCCTAACTAGCTTACTTCAATTTGTATGTCCAATGGGGGCACCCTTTTCCCACTATTGGGTTCTTGCTTTGGGCTCACATAAAGTGTTCCATTAGGGAACGTGACTCTAAAATGTGCTCAGGCTCTTCTCTCACTAATCCATCTAGTGCTCTCATCTGGAGTTATTCCAGGAAAACCTCCTTAAACAAAGCTTGGTCAAAGTCTAGGTTCTCCCTCCCTTAATAGGACTTCTTTTAGACTTGCACTTGGTGTACAAAGTAGATCAAATATAGGCAAGAGTGTACTGGAGCCAGCTCTAACTAGCTGTCAAGATCCCATGGTTAAAGTTTCAGTGTGAGCGATTTGGAAATTGGCAAATACTACAAATCAGGGCTTGATTTATTGTTTTGTTGAGTGTCTGGTCTTAAAGTGATGGAGAAAATTTTAATAATGCGGATTAAACTTGAAACTATGTCATGTGTACTCATTCCCCCCAGAGAACTGGTTGTTTACCAGCACACTTCTGGATATAGGACAGCTATTTATTTCCTTCACCAAAAAAAAAAGAAACGCTTAAAACACAAAATACTTATAAAGAATGTTGGAAAAGACTTTTAAAAATTCAGAGAGTAACTCGCAGCAAAGGACTCGCGGAAGCCTGTATACAGATATAGAAACAAATGAGGTGCTCAAAAAAATCCCATTGTCTTATAATCTCTTGGGAGATGAAGACTCATGGGAGACTGGAACCACTGGGCAGATAACACTTTTAACCTGGAGCTGAGCAACTCGATTCAGGTCCAGCTCTTCTGGGCAGCCAGGCATACGCTGCACCTCCTGCTGCTGGTGGTGATCTCCTCTGAGAAGGATACGGTTGCAGGAAGCACTTCCTGTTGGACAATTACCAGCCCAGAGACCTCTCAGTGACCTCTTATGCTCATGAGTTAGCTGCCAAGGCTGAGACCATCTATCTCAGTCACTAGGGAAAGAAATACAAAGCAGAAGAAGAGGAGGCTGGAGATTTAAGGTGGATTTGAGATCCATTAGAGGCATCTAGGTGGCACAGTGGATAGAGCATTGGGCCTGGAGTCGGGAAGGCCTGAGTTCAAATCCAGCCACAGACTGGCAAAATATCCATTCTTTAGACTAAGCCTTCTTGCTTGAAATATTCAACCTTCTTTCTGCCTTTCCGTTTGCCTCTTGAAATCCATAGCGTATTAGAACTAGCTGTAGGGAGATCAATTTACTCTCAGTCTGTCGGTTTTCCCCATCTATAAAATGGGACTATTTTACCTTTTGTAAGTCCCTCATTTTATCTCAACATCAGACCTGACTTGAGAGGGTGCTGGCTTTAGAGCCTGTGCCTGTGATCAGGCTGATCTGAGAACCAGTCTCCAGGCCAGGATCAGGGGCCTATGCCTATGGGCTAACATTTATGTTGAAAGGGGTGAATGATTTATAGCTTTGTGGTGCCATGTTTATTGGAACTGACCACAGACGGCTCTTCTTAGTTACTCCTGATCAGCTCACTGAAGTTGTCATATCTGTGGACTGGTTCAGAAGGTAGAGTCAGTATTGCAAAAAAGTAATTAGACCTGCTAGGCATATACCTCAGTGGGCTCAGTGATAAAAAGAAGGGCCTTCATATATACCAGAATTTTACAGAAGCACTTTTTTTTTTTTTTGTAATTGTAAAGAATTGGAAGGGAAGTAGATGCTTGTGATTGGGGAATAATTAAATACATGTAGTAGAATGTTACCATATTAGAAGAAATGAATATGATAAATACAAAGAATCATAGTAAAACTATGTGAACTGATGCAAAGTGAAATAAGTAGAACCAGGAAAACAATATACTCAATGAGTAACAAGACAATTGAAACTGAATGTTGTGAAATAAGAATAATCAAGTTTGGTCCCAGAGAAGAAATAGCAGAAGATATTATCCCTCCCTACATTTTGCAGAGAATGGGATACTATGGGTATGGAATGATACGTGTAATGTGAGACTGACTATCTTGGTTAGTTTTGCTAGTTGCTTTCTCATAAGGACTGCATGTTAGGGAGGTGGAGAGGGGAGGTAATACATTGGAGAAATGTGGGTGATATAAAACAAAAGATAACAAAAATGCATTTAGGGGGAAAAAAGAAAAACAGAAGTCTTCTGAGATCAACATGAGGATTTACTTCCTTGTACCAAAAAGATTGGCTGGAGGAGACATCAGGAAGAACACCTTTCCAGCTCACCAGGTTTTATCAAGGGTGGCCGTGTGTTAGCGTTCTCACAGCTTTTGCCCAATTATATTCTCATGGCTCAACATTTCGTATTCAGTCTCAGGAATTTTCATCAACATTCAGACATGCTGAACCCAGGTTTTAGATTGATCAAAATGGAAGAAAAAAGCCAGGGAGTTCTAATTTTGGCAGGGGGTTCCCATCACCATCTAGGATATTAACTTGTCTGGGTGAACATATGGGATTTGACAAACAAAAGCTGTTGGGAGGGATGTGCTCCTGGGCTGAATGGAAAACACTTTAAATGAAATCATCACAAATATTTATTATGTGAGTCTCTAACAGAAGAGTATGGGCCAGTTAATACTCTGGTTCCTTCAATGATTTCTCTGTGGACTTCCATTGTTCTGCAATGAAAACAGTAGGGGTTTCAACTTGAGGTCATTTCTGATTCTGGAGGGCCCCCACCTTGGCTTTTCTCGATTATGGAAAGGAAGAGAGACAATCACCTGTTTTTCTTTTTCTGTCTTGGGTCCTAAGAGTCCCACGGAAAGGCTTCCCTTGTTAATTTGTTTTCTTTGACCTTTAATATATTTTAGACAAAATTGGAAGGAAATACCAAAATAGTAAAATAGAGTCCTGCAGAATTCAACAGAGACCCAAAGTTTCCCCAGGGCATAAGGGGCCAATACAGTTCAGCAGCTGAATTTTATGGGTGGGTGGGTGTGTGTGTGTGTGTGTGTGTGTGTGTGTGTGTGGACTTCCCCAAAGATGCTTTCTCTGAGGTTCTCTAAATAAAACTTAGAATTGTGTTAGGAGCTCGGCGAAGTCCACAAATGTATTTTTAAAGACATTTTAGTCGTATTTGGGTGATGAATGCTATTGGAGCCTGGCTACTAGGCACATTTTAGCTATACATTTCATCATTTGGCTCTGTTTTGAAAGTCTGCTTACTTGTTGTCTTGGACTCCCATTTCCTTTTCTATGGAGCTTTGGTCTGCTTCTCAGATGCAGATTGGGGAAATTGTCAAATTCAGTCAAAAAGCACATTTAATAAGTGCTTATTTTGTGGTTGAGTATGGAGGGAGACAAATTTCTGTGCTCTTGGGTCATGGGACGGAAGCAGCAGATGAAGCCACTGCCATGTCCGTATTTCCCCCTTCTCTCAGGCTCTAAAATTATAGTTAACCTATGATGAAGCATACTTCCCACCTCTTGGCAAAGAAGTGATAGGCAGTAGGTGCAGAATGAGACAAATTTCCAGACAGTCAGGAATGTGTTTATCTTTTTCTTAAGTATACTTCTTTGTTGGAAAGGGGAGAATTTGGGGTGGGAGGTTGGGGAGGTATTGTGGGTTAGTAATAGTGATACAAACAAAAAAGAAGAAAAGAAAAAAAATTAATGTCGAAACATTTAAAAATACTTAGAAGCAAGCATCGGATAGTTGAGAAGGGGATGCTACCAACAGCTGTTTTGCTGTTAACCTTGTTAAAATTAATACATATTTAAAAACAAACTGTACATAATAGAAGTCCATAGTTTTTACCCATCCGCATTTTGTTATTTACATCTTGAGATAGTATTTGAAATGTTCTTAATACATTTTAAAAATAATATTTTATTTTTCCCCAATTACATGCAAAAAAAACAATTTTCAACTTTTTTTTTTTTTTTTTTTTTGTGTGAAGCAATTGGGATTAAGTGACTTGCCCATGCAAGTCGCACATTAAGTAAGCGTTATGTGTCTGAGGCAGTATTTGAACTCCAATCCTCCTGACTGGTGCTTCTATCCACTGCGCCACCTAGCTGCCCTGATTTTTAACATTTTAAAATTGAGTTCCAAATTTTATTCTTGCCTCTCTCCCCTGCTTTGTCCCTGAGATGGTAAGCAATCTGATATAGGTTATATATGTGCAGTCACATAAAACCTATTTCCATATTAGTTATTTTTGTGGAAGAAAACTCGAATTAAAAAAAAAGAAAAATAGTACGCTTCGGTCTGTATTCAGATGCCATCCACTCTTTCTCTCAAGGTGGGTATCATTTTTCATCATGAAAATTGTTGTCTTGGATCATTGTATTGGTGAGAATAGCTAAGTCATTCACAGTTGTTCATTGTACGGTATTGCTTTTACTATATACAATGTTCTCCTGGTTCTGCTCACTTCATATTAGTTCATCTAAGCCCTTTTCTGAAATCATCCTGCTTGTCATTTCTTATAGTATAATAATATTTCATTACAAAATTATACCACAACTCGTTCAGCCATTCCCCAATTGATGGGCATCCCTATAATACATTTTTAAAAAATTCAGAAGTATAAATTGTCCCATCGGCCACTGAAGAAATTCACTATTTGTCATGAATTCTTAACCTTTTTTGTGTCATGGACCCCCTTGGCAATCTGGTGAATCTTATGAACCCTTCTAAGAAAACTGTTTTTAAATACATAAAATACATAGGATTACAAAGGAAACTCATATCAAAATACAGTTATTAAAAAAAAAAAATACAAGTTCATATGCTCTTCCCTCCCTGCCCTCCTCCCGGTCAGTACCTGAATTTGGTAGAATGCATTTTTACTCCATTGCCTTGTATGTATTTCTTACCTTTGGTTTTGCTTTCTTTAATTTTTTTTAAAGGATAGTATTGAGTTCAGAAACATCTGCAGTCATATGGCCCAGCAGCCAGAGGGACCGTATTTTGACCGAGACCTGAATACAGCCTACAAGTGCCTGAAGACCATCATCAAGAAGCTGATCCGTTCAATGTTGAGCCTCCCAGCTGATATCCGTGATTTGGCCTGTGTTGCTCTGAGGCAGGTTCTCCAGAATCTTCTGGATCTGTGAATGTTACTGATGTGTGAATTGAAGCCAGTCAGGCTGTAAGCTTTAGCCAAGGAGTTATTGTATATAGGCCTTAAAAGCAAAATGAGCCTTTGAGCCTCAGGCAAAATTGAGGGTTGTCTTCCAGACCCCTTAGAATTCTTTTCACATTTATAACAATCAGTAACAGGTAGCTGGAATTTTCAGGGATTTTTGTCATTTTTTCTGACTTGTTGTGGATGGGAATATCATTTGCTTTGGTTACATAATTGGATTAAGTGCATTAATTTCCCCATCAGATATTCCTTTCGACCTGTTACATATTTTTTTTCCATAGAGGCCTAGTTGTTAGTGCTAGTTTGTGGCTGAAGCTCTATGATTAATAAAAGTCTGAGCCATAAATGTGATATTTGATAACTGATATATGTTCTTTGTTGCTGTGTATAAAAGAGAAAGTGTTCATTTATTTCATTTCCTAGTAAAATTTCTCTAGAAATTTGAAGACTCTGTGTTAATACTTCAACTCTTGTTTCTGGTGTAGTGAATTTACTGTTTCACAGTTACTAAATGGCTTTCAAGTTTTCTGTCTTCAGTACCTTGGTTTGGAAATTGGAAGTGATGATAATCCCATTTAAGGTACTTGGAATAAAAGATGCTAAATAAAATATGAAGTATTGTGTTATTGCAGCCTGAGATGAAAATTTCCAGATTCCTTTTAAAATTGTTTTTATACATCCCACTTCAAGTAGGAAATCATGTGAAAAGAGGGGGGAGAAGTGGGTACGTTGGCCAGCCTCCCTTAAGCATTTCCAGTTGAGAAGGGAGGGAAGGTGACTTTGTGGACTTTTGGTAGCTCAGATGGGTACATAGCTAATCTTTCCTAGGTTTCCTGCAGTTTTCATGCAGACTGTATCCAGAAGAGAGGTCAATTAAACCTCTAATGTTCCCTTAACACTTTACTAGAAACAGTATCAGATTTAGGAGATAGGTTCCTATTTCCTAAAAAATTAGGAAATTGTGTGTGATTGGGAGGGTTCGGGAATGGGGAAAATGCTTCGTACTCTCACTAGTAACATAGCCAGGGTCTTAGATTTTCCATTGATTTTGGCTCTGGGAGTATGGACAGCTCATTTAAACTCCAGCAGGTATATCTACCACACAGAAATGTTTCCAGGATTCCTCTCTCTGTATGTTGATCCAAGATAAGCATCCTGATTCATACTTTTTTTTCCCCTTTTCATACTTTTTTTTCCCCTTTTATGGATAACCACACATCTGCCGAAAAGAATATTTGTATAAAACTTAGTTCTAAGAGAAAGATGGAGACAAAATGAAGGATGGAGATGGGGCAGAAAGGAAAGACCGAAGGGACTGGATTTCTTGGTCCTTTTTTTTTTTTTTTTTTTTTTTTTTTTGGGACAAGGCAATGGGGTTAAGTGACTTACCCAAGGTCACACGGCTAGTAAGTGTTATGTGTCTGAGGCCGGATTTGAACTTAGATCCTCCTGAATCCAGAGCCGATTCTCTATCCACTTCACCACCTAGCTGCCCCTTGGTACTTCTTGAGATGTGTCCCTATACCTCTGATATGCAAGTGAGGCTAGATAAATTGATCAGCAAACATTTGTTAAGGATCTACTGTGTACCAGACCCTTGTGCCTAAATACTGGGGATACAAAGAAAGACAGAAGCAGTTCCTTCCCTCAAGGGGGCTTACAGTCTAATGGGGGAGAGAATATAAAAACCAAGTACATATAAGATACATATATATGGGAAGTAATATTCTTCTGGGGGAAACGATCTATATTTCACGGTTACGTGTGGGGCCTGTTGCATTTTTTTTTCCTACCTACACATTTCAATTTTTCTAGTATTTTGATTTTTCAGAAAATTGTACCTAATTGAGTAGGGAAATAATTACTTTCTCAGTTCTGAAGCTTTATCTCCTGGGGTTAAAAATCCAGTTCCACAAACATTTGTTAAAATATAATTATCACAAAACGGTCAGAAACGGGTATTAAAATATTTCTGACAAAGTCAGTAGTCGGCTGGAAATGTATAGATGCTCACACTCTTGAGTTATTCAAGGAAGAGTTTCATTCAAGTGACAAGCATCCCATTCTTGGGGTGATAGGATTGAACAATGTCAATTGGTTAGCACCTTTTGGCAATGTGGCATAAGGGACAGAGTTCTATATGTGTGCTGAGGATGGCCTGGGTTCCAGTACTGTCTCTACCGCTAAACTAGCTTGTGACCATGGGCAAGTCATAGTCTGAGTCTCAGGCAACTTAGAAGTCTTGGGTTGTGATTTGTTTGTGTGGAGGGAGTTTCCACAGCAAGGACATCACGGGTCCCTGATTGCTCATACTTTAAGGAACCTCCATTAAAGATGTTTAAAGTGAGTACAAGTAGACTGGACTAAAACCAACAATTCCTGGATGGGTCTAGTTTTTCTTTAGATTTTTTGCCTTCTTTCTCCCTCATTTTTTCCAAAGGCAATGTGGCACAGTGGGTAAACTGCTGGATTTAGAGTCAGAAAACCTGGGTTAACTCTGTGTTCTTGGGCCTCAGTTTCCTCATCTCTAAAATATAAGGATTCTACATTGTATGTTCAGAGTTTCTTTCCATTTTGGACACCTGCCATCTTATGATGCCTCCTGCCTTCATTCGCTTCTGCCTCCAGCCCAACAGACCGCATAAAGGAGTTCTAAATGGAAAAACAAACAAAATAACTTAAAGGAAGTCAAATGTCAAAGCTTTGTAGTTGTGGCTATCCATGTCTATATTCAATAAAAGCACAGGACTCTAGCCCCAGCGGTGCTGGTGATTTCTTTTAGAATTTAGGAATAGTGACAGCAGAGAGAGTATCTTTGATTCAGCATTCTGTAGTTGGTGAATCATAGGCTCACAGAGCTGGAGCTCATATCCACGGTTACCTTTTCATTTTTCATGTGAGGAAACTGAGGCTCATGAGAGTTCAACAACTTTTACAAAGTCATAACGGTGGGCTCAAATAAGCATTTATTAAATGCCTGCTATGTATTAGCAGCTTGGCGGATCAGAAAAGCCTTCATGTAAGAAGATGGAGCCTGAAGGGAGTCTTGGGGTGGGGGGAAACGGGAGCATTCTAAGGAGGATGGAGGGTAAGGAGGGGACTGCATTCCAGACATGGGGAACAGCCGGTGCTAATGCAGGAAGATGGACTGCCGTGGACGAAGAAAAGAAAGGAGGCAGGCCATTTTGGCTGAGCGATGGAGTACATGCATGGGAGTAATATTTAGTAAGGCTGGACCAGGTTACAAAGATGCTGATTGGAGGAATTTTTATTTGATCATAAAGGTAATAGGGAACCACTGATGTCTGCCGAGGAGGGGAGTGACAGAGTTTGGGAAAATCACTTTGTTCGGTCCTGAGCAATGAAGCCTATCAGAAAAAGGAGGTACTGACAAAAAGGGCAGATCCCTGGGATGTCTTTTTCTCCATGGAATGGTGTTGGGTTTTTCCTCTTTTTCCTCTCCCCTGCCTTTCCTTCTTCTCCTGTATACTACAGGGAAGGGTCTTGAGAGGGTTATGGGTGGCAGCAGAGGATAGCGAGGTGGGCCTGGAGTTGGGAAGATCTGAGATCAAGTCCAGCCTCAGACACTTAACTAGATGCGTGACCCCAGAAAAGTCACTTAACCTCTGCCTCAGTTTCCACAACTGTAAAATGGGGATAATAATAGCACCTACCTCCCAGGGTTATCGAGAGGATCAAATGAGGTATTTATAAAGCTGCTTAGCACAGTGCCTGGCACTTAATAAATGCTTGTTTCTTTCCTTTAACTTCCCCTGGAGAAACAAATCCCCTGAACCCCTGGTTTAGGGAGGTTGTCCTAAATATTTGCCTTTAAAATTTCTCATAATGGGGGCAGCTAGTTGGCGCAGTGGATGGAGTGCCAGTCTTGGGAGTCAGGAGGACCTGAGTTCAAATCCGGCCTCAGACACTTGACACTTAGCTGTGCGACCCTGGACAAGTCACTTAACTCTGATTGTCTCACCAAAAGGCCAAAAAAAAAAAATTTCTCAATCTCTTTCACTTTGTTGAAAGCTTTGGGAACTTTCAAACTAACTTGATCATCAGTCTTTTTAGCAAGTTAATTTATGTTGAAATAGACTGTCCCTGTAAGTCCTGGAATGACATGGTTATTAGCTAGCTTCTCAGATTCTTTCTTCCCCACTACAATAAATTGAGTGAACATCTATTAAATACCTACTATATGCCAGGCAATGTGCTAAGGAATGGGAAGGTGAGTATCAAGAAATTAGGAAATCTTTATTAAAAACTGAAGATACAAATGCGGTCTCTGCACTCAAGGTTTACATTTGAATGGAGGGGACACCATGCAAATAACTAGATACATACAGAGTAGAGGAAGGCACAATGTTCCAGTAAACTGATGCTTTGCTTCATCGGGCTTTGACCAGCAGCGCGGTATAGTGGGAGAACACTTTTGGAGTCAGAAGACCCGAGTTTGAGTCCACTTTCTACTAGTATGTGTGTAATCTTGGGCAAATCATTTTCTCCTCTCTGGGTCTCTTTCCTTTTCTGTAATAGGAAGAGATTGAATTAGATGGTTTCTGCAATAGAAGGCCCCCTTCTGTCCTAACATTATTTTCTTATTTTAGCCCAATATCACTTTTATTAATTAAATTTTCTTTTTATTGCAATCATTTAAAATTATTTCTATATCTTAAGTTTTTTTACATTAATTCATTTCCATATAGATCCCTAACCCTCCCTGTTCCCACCAACTCACATCATATGAGAAAGAATTAAAAAAAAGGGTGGAGGGGGAAGCAGTTTGGCAAAATCAAATATCGCATCTATCCATAAAGGTAGTATATTCAGTGTTCCACATGCGTATCTTCCACCTCTGCCAAGAATGGGGAGTAGTACCCTGTCGCATCTCTCCTTCAGGGCCGGAAATTCAGTTCTTGCTATCTTCATTTGTTGTTGCTATTTTCATGTATGCTGTTGTAGTCGTTGATGGAGTTCCTTCTTGATTCTGATTACTTTCCTCTGCATCAGCATGTAGAAGACTTCTGTGCTTCCCTGAATTTCCGTATTCTTCATTTCTTACAATTGAGTCCTATTTCATGACATTCTGGACTTGGTATCAGGTAAACTTGAGTTTGAATTTTGTCTCAGATGCTGGCTGTGTGACTGTAGGCAGGGCATTTAGCTCTGGTGAGTCCCAGTTTTCTCATCTATAAAATCAATAAAATTATTGTCTATTAATCTGTAAAATTATAAAAATAACAATTATTCATATTATCCTCATATATAAAATGGGGATGATGACACCTACCTCAAATGTGATGAGCGGAATGTCTGTAGAACTCTTTGGTAAGATTTAGAGTGCTATGTAAATGTTAGCTATTTGGTATGATAGGGGTGTGTGTGTGTGTGTGTGTGTGTGTGTGTGTGTGTGTGTGTGTGTG